AATTCCATATATAATATTTAAAAAGTAAATTTGACTGCTAGACTCTGATTCCCCTTTCCGTTCAGCTTATATTTCCAAGCCCATTTTTAAACACCCACACGTACAGGACAGTTCTCTGCCCTGCATTACTTGGCCCCTCAGTTGCATTCAGTATGAAGGATAATTCATTCTTTCAAATTTTGTTTTTAGTAGTGTGTCTGATTATAGTTGTGTGCAGGTGCTCACAGATGCCAAAGGCATCAGGTCCCCTGGAGCTGGAGTTATAGGTAGTTATAAGCCACCTAACATGGGAACTCAGATCCCCTGGAAGAGTAGTATGTGCTCTTAACCCCTGAGGTTTCTCTCCAGCCCCTGATAACTTGTTCTTGACTATTCTCCATCTTCTCTTTCTTTAAGAAATTCATTCTCTTTGTTTTTCAGTCTTTTTTGAGACAGGGTCTCCCTGTAGCCCCAGCTGACCTGGACGCCACTATTTAGACCGGCTGGCCTTGAACTTACAGAGATCCTCCTGCCTCTGCCTCCCTCCCGAGTGCTGGGTTTATAAGCGTGTACCACGTTCTTGTGTACTTCACTGCCTCTTCTTTTGGACGTATTCTTCTCTGAAATTTCCAAAGACTGGCCTCCTCAAAGCTCAGTCTGCAGCCATACAGTCCCTATAAAGGGATGGAAACCTGACCTGTTGGTTTGATGTATGACTTTTGTGCTCATCACTCTGGCATTTATATCGTCAACAGAGAGCTCTGATTTACCCACGTCTCCTCCAGCTTCATGTACCCCCCAAGAACTGTGGATCTGTCTTCTCAAAATTGATGATGGTCTCCATCAGTGGCACTATCACCAATTCTGTTCTCCCAAGTCTTAAGTACAGGAGGCATCCTTGATTCTTTCCTTTCCTCACATCCAACCCACTGGGAAATGCTGATGACTGTGTACACAGTATGCCTTATTTCTAAAACAATATCATCTCCCACAAAAACCACCACTATCACTCCCTCATCACCTTCCTTCCTATTCATTTGTGTCATTCCTATCTATTCCCTGTAGAGCAACACCAGGAGCAACCTTCTTAATAAATGAAATTGAATAAGGTCATGCCCAAGTGTCTCTGTTCATGGGAGGAGATGCTGGACAAGATGGAGAGACCTTGGGTAAATCATTCTGCTTTCAGATCCTTGAACATACAAGCTTTTTTCTGAACAAGGAACTTCATATGTTCTTTCTTTTCCTTGTAATACTCTCCCTCCAAACCCCTACACTACTCTATTTCTATCTCTTCACATAGCAGTGCTCTCTTTGCCCCACTTCTTGATTTAAACTCCACCTCTATAGAGATGGCCTTCTGATTCTTTTATTTAAATATGGCCTCACTCTTACTGTTCCAGAGTTTGGTCACTTTCCCCAAAACAGAATTTTCAGGGCTTTCTCTATTTACATCTCATTTTCTCACTAGTTCTTAAGTTTTATGGGAAGATGACAATGCCTAGCTTGTCCTAAGCTAACTCCAATGTTCATATAGTGCTTTGTCTTGAATAAGCCCTTGTTGAATGGATTAGTTTCCTGTCATCTGCTGAGATGGAGAGACATAGAATGCCCAAATCTTGGGAATCTCTTGCTAAATTATTGGACAATTAAATTCAATGAAGAGTGACAGAAAATTCACACAATGGGAACTTAAACAAAACAACTGTATTTCTTCCACGTGCAACACAAATACAAGCAGGCAGACCCAGGCTGGGTTCCGTGATGGCTCCACAACACCAGGATGGCCAAGAATTCTAGCTGCTTCACCAACCTCGAATATACCTCAGCCATCACTTAAGTGTTTGATGTGGGCAACAAGGTAACACAGGACATAATAAATGAACTCTTCCCAGGTAAGTCAAGTCTTTTAGGGAACATGAATAGAAATCCTATACTTCTCCACTCACTGGCCACAAATTAACATATTAGATACAAAGCTAGTAAGAATTTTTATTTGTGTTTTTGCCTATTTTTATTGAATTTTTGTGTATTTTATATGCAACATCTTAATCATCTTTATACCCCCTTCCCCATCAGCACCCTCACATACCCCTCCGACTGGATGTCATGCATTCTGTCATTTATGTTAAGGCCAATCGAGTCCCCTGATGTACCTCAGTGCAAGTTCATCCAGTGGGGTCTAGTCAGCCTATATAGAGTCACTCCCTTAAGGAAGATCAGCTCTTCTTCACGTAGCACTAATCAGCTACCCAACAGTTCTTTGGTTAAGATTGGGGCCTGCTGCCCATTTTCAAAGTTCTATGCTTGGTTTTTGTCTGCTTGAGTTTTCATGGGTCTTGTGCATGTCATCGCCATTGCTGTAGGCTCATATGAGCAAGGTCCTAGAGCCTATAAGACTCTATTTCCATATAGTCATATACCTCCTCCCCTGACTCTTACAAGCTTTCCACCCCCTTTCCCACAATGGTCCCTGAGCCCTGGGTGGCAGTTTAATATAGGAGTCCTGTCCAAGGACCCACACTCTGCAGACTCTTATTCTCTATGCTTCGGTCATTTGTAGCCCTTTGTGTTCATTGCCCTCTGTTGTACGAGGGAGCTTTGTTGATGAGAGTTGAGAGATGCATTAGTATTCTCTCTACCCCTGTTCCACTATGTTCCATGAGCCTTAAGTATAGAGGTCCCATTGTAGGTGTGTCACTTAAGGTTGGGCATTTCACAAACACTTAAAACTGTGTGTGACCAGTATCTGTCTGAAATGAAAGAAGCTTCTTCAAGGAGTGGTGACTGGGATACTTGTCTGTAAATATAAGGGTCCATATTTTGCACAGAGTAAAAAAATTACATTTGTCTAGGGATGTGACAGCCTTGGGGTTTTCTCTAAGATCTATGGCTTTTCCAGCCATGTGTATTTGTCTATGTTTACAGTATTACATATGAGTTCCTTCCCATTGAGTGGCCTTTAAGTCCAATTATGTAGCTATTGATTACCCCCAAGATAAAAGTGCCACAACTTCCCCAATATAGTTTGCTGTGCTGGTCATTGTTGTGGTTATTAGGCCTTAAGGCTGGGGTTGGACCACTGATTGATGTTCTCCCTTAACAGCTTGCATAGTGTTCTCCAAAACTATGAGAGCTAGCCTTCAGAGAGGAGGCTTCCAGGTCAGTTCCACCTCTATTGCTCCAAGTTCAGTGTCAGAAGTGTGTCCTGTCTTCAGCAATAGGATCTTATCTTCAAGCTCTGTGAGGTAATCAAGGACTGTGGCAATGGCCTATGTAATTTTGAGGGTCTCATAGACTACTCTGGCCAACAACTTAAAGGGAGATTTCCTCTGTCTAGCACTGTTTCTTGTTATATAGCCTTCAGCCATACACATGCACCCATGTAGAAATATGGTATAATTTTTCAGTAAGTTTCTGAACTAATACATTTCCCTCTGGTTTTTTACACCATCTGGGTTTTTAAAATTTTTCAATTGGGAAACATTGTGCCCTGGCGACAAATGAAGTTCTGATACCAAGAAGAAAATGAAAATGGGTTTTAGGAAAACAACCAAGGATCATTGCAATGAGGTGAATGTGGGAATCTTTGCTGGATGAATTCTAGATTTTCACCGTCCTTTGGATTGGAGGACTAACTGGGTGTGAGGCCAAATGCCCAGACTTTCTTATGTTTGGAGCTGACATCTCCATTTTTCTTTATGTTTCCAGTCATTCTTAATGTAATAGCATGTAGAGACACAGAATTCCAAGATGAAGAAAAGGGTAATCTGGTTTTTCTGGGAATCAAAGGCAAAAATCTCTGTCTCTTCTGCACTGAAATTGAAGGCCAGCCTACTTTGCAGCTTAAGGTGAGTGAATGCACAGTTAATGAGAGAAGTGTATCAAATGGACTTTTATTTCCTTTAACATTTATAGAATAAAAATGATGTCCTTGCAAGCCTGGATTATTCAGAATAAGAAGGAAACCTGCCCTATCTGGACCCTAAATTATCCTATCGGAATAGATTTAGCACTTATTTTAACATTAGAGCATGAATCTGGTGAAAGTCAGAGCACCAAAACCATGAAAATATTTCTGAAAAGTGAAGGAAGGGTTACTTCTCCACCATTTTTTAAAAAAAATAATTTATTGAAAATGTCATACATGCATATAAGGTGTTTTGATCAAATCCATGCCCACTCCCTCCCCTCCAACTCCTCCCATATCTCCCCACTACTTTTTTCTGATAACTTCACGTACTCTTTCTTCTTCTTTATTTTTTTAATGGGGCTTTTGGCTACTCTAACATTCCCCTTTCTGAAGAAGTAACCCTAAAATCTTTTAAGAATTAGATAAAAGCTCCCAAATACTTTAGATATTTTTGGCCTTTGGAATAGAGTATGTTGCTAAGAAGCC